GATAAGGCTAAGCCCTATGATGAGTAGCACTGCAAACAACAAGAGTAATTAGAAGGTCAGGTTAGCAATAAAGTCCAGACTCTCTTGACAGACTTCACTACTTAACCTTTCAGCACCTCAAGTTTAAAAGAGGGGAAGAAAATAGCCTGGCTTTTTGCATCCCTATGAGGATTAAATGGGATATTTAAAGGTGCTACTTTTAGAGTAGCACCTGGTATACAGTGAGAAGTCAGCACGTTAGTTATTATTATAGCAACCGTTTCTCTAAGACTTAGGTCTTCAAATCTATCAGCTTTTAACCACAGTAAATCAAAGGCTTATCCTTGTTATTTGAAAAGAGTTTCTTTACTTCTTCCTGAATCTGGAAGATTTTTAGGTAACTGGCTTCTCTGACATTTGAAAAACTCAAGACCCTTCTTAGTCTTTTTATAATAAAATTCCCTTTGAAATATTATACAAAGGGCAGACTATTCCATGGATCATGAACAATAAAAAGAGTTCACAAAGTACAGTGAAATTCTGAGATTCATAAAAGACTAAAGAGCAAAAAGACTGGGAGCAAAAAGTTTAGATAAAAAAGGATGCAGAACTCTATTACATGTTCAAAAAAATACTGAATCTTAAAAAAATAAAAAAATAAAAATAAAAAAATACTGAATCTTATAATTAAACACAGAAGATAGAGATATTCGTGGTTTACAGTCATTCATATCACTAAAAACATAAACATGTTATATTTGGTAAATATTTTCTTATGGCTTTTGTGTGTGGCAGGGGTAAGTTTCTGATTGCTTGGTTGGTTTGTTGGTGGTACTAAGCATTCAACCTGCGAGCCAGGATTGCAGGTGTTCACAACTAGGCCCTAGTTGGAGAATGTATATGGTAACTGGAAAATTTGTTTCTTTGCAGTAGTCAACAGATAGATGCACATTAAGCAAAAGCAATTTCTTCAAAACTAATTTTCTAGAAGGAAAAGCATAAAAGACCAGGTTCCTAGCCACACATATCCCTCAGGCAAAGCTTTAAAATTTTGCGCTATCTAGCATTCTCTGTGATCTGTGACATTATAACAGTAACAAATCTCTTTTCTATCAGAAAACATTAAGATTGACTAGAAGAAAACTATCCATCTAATTTTTTTCTTCTTCCCAGGGGAGATAGCTCAGTGGCACAGTGCCTGCCCAGCAAGCACACGGTCCTGAGTTCGATTCTTGGTACCAAAAAATAAATTTTTGATTCTCATAAGTGCATTATCATGGGCCAACTAAATAGGTTATGTAGATTAACTAGAATCTATGATAACTCCCCAGCACTGTAAAAAGAAATTACCAACTAAAATTCATAAGTGGAGCAAAATATTTTTAATCTAAAGACAAAATAATTTAAATAATTTATATTAAAGTCCTCCTACAAGATAGATATTAAGATAGACATTTTCATCATGCTATAAAATTTCATTCTCCTAATAACCACAGCAATGTGTCATTAACTATCCTCAGTTTACAAATGAGAGAATTAAGGTGTAGTAATTTCCCCAAGGACACTTCACTTGTATAAGATGCAGTCAGATCTCCAAATTTTTCAACTACAAGTCAACTGCTCTTATTTTATTTGTACTATTACTACTTTTATAAGATGTGATATTTTTATCTGGGGAGCGGCAACTATTGTGATAAAAGAAATTTTTTCATAACTTTTTTAAATACTTCGTTTAATCTGACATAATTCACTTCAATTAAAAGCTTTGGTTCAACTATCCACCGTAGAAGACACCAGGTTATCTTCAGCTACACAGGCTCCATCAAGACCTAAAATAAGAACTGCCTCCTGCAAGAAAGGTTCCCAGATTAAAAGACCTGTTCCTCTCTTCCCAAGTTAGCATCCTTCCTTTACTGCCTCACTGCTCATACATTAATCACATATTCCTTTTTTTCTCTAGTCATACATCTGGGACATTTATTTCATCCAGTAAACTACTGAGCATTTGAGATGAGCTGCTGAACAGAATAGATAAGGTTCTTGCTGTTATGGAGAGTTTACATTATCTGGAATTTTAACAAAGATAAAAATAAGATAGGGTATTAGAGCATAATGTTCCAAGACGAGGATTTCTTCCCTATGAGGTCTCTAAAGAAAGCCTTCGCCCTTGCAAGCTTGTCAACACTTTTCAGGAAGAAAGAAATTCCTTTTTCTCATATCCTCCAGATGATAATTTCAACTTCATACCCTTGTGAAGGTATAAAGAAAGGTGGGGACAAAGGCAACCAGAAGGATCACTCTAACATCTCAGCAGGTTCACACATGCTGACATGAAACTTGCACACAAGATGAGTCCACAAATCTCTTCCTGCATCACATTCACAAAATGACTACACATAATTCAACCACAATTGCTTCAACCAAGTACCCTTATTGATCTCCTCTAACCCAGCCACATTCATCAAAAAATACTTCTTAGGGGCTTTTTTAATTCAAGTTGTTTTTATGCCTCATTTGTTGATCATAAGAATAAGATAAAATCTCTCTCTTCTACTTTGGAATTGTATGACATTCCAAGATCACAATTATAAATGTTTTCAGTTTTGGATATAACATAATTATACTGCTGTTAGAGTAAAGAAATTCCAAAACAAACTATATCGAAGTATCAACTGTCTTTCATTCTGCAATTCAAGTAACCTACATGTTGTAATCACATCACCCTGGAAGGTTTAGGCAGGAAGGTCTCAAGTACAGCTCCAACCTGAACTACTCAGTAAGGCCCTGTCTCAAAAACAACAACAAAAATTGTTTTAATTAAAAAATAAAAAGGGCTGAAAATGTAGTTTACTGCACTCTGGGTTTATTCCCCAGTACCAAAAAAAATCAATCGATCAATCCTGCAATTAAAAAAGATTCTTCTGTAATGAATGCTTTACAAATTCCTAATTTTATCACTTCTCAAAACAAAACTGAGGGCCAGGGAGATGGCTCAGTAGAATAAGTGCTTCCCTGGCAAGCGCAAGGGCCTGAGTTCAATCCCCGGTTCCTCAAAAAATCAAAACAAAAATGAAATACAATCTCATTATATAAAAAGTAAACAGCTTGACAAAAGTGTAAGTGCCATGAATGTGCTGTAAGAAACATATTTGAATATTTTGAAATGCAGTGACTGCTGGACCTGGTGGTGCATACCTGTAATCCCAGCACTAAGGAGGATGAGGCTGAACCGCCACTAGTTTGAGACTAACCTGGACTACATAGGGAGATCCTGTCCAAAAAAAACCAAAAACATAAAATGTAATAATAGCATTCTAAGTGAGAAAAAAAAAAAAACAGTCACATTTTCCCACAGATCAGAGGTTCAATAACCAGAGTCAATGAAAGAAACAAACCACGACTATATTTAACTAAACAAGCATTTCTAAGCACCCATGTTGCACACGGTGGCTCAAACTGTTTACATGGAATTTGGCCACAACTTAATCTCCATAATTAAAGACCTAAAAGGTAGTTCTTATGTTTCCTCTATTCTCTTTACCACCACTCTGAAAAGGTATATTGTGATTATTCCATACCAAGTTGCTATTGAAAGAAAATAAAAGTTACACAGTATTTGAACTTGGCTGTACTTTTAATAGAAGACATTTTAAATTGTATACTCTTGCTCTTCCTTCTCCAAACTGTTTTATAAAACTAGTAGTATCTTAATAATCCCACTGCAAAACAGGTTCCAGCAAAAATAGAAACTGATCAATATCTCAGCATAATCAAGTTTGGACGAATTTTTTTGGGATGGAGAGAACAAGCTATTCACCCCTTCTTTCATAATTCTTGAGGTCTCTGAAATGCTAAGGGCAGCAAGTTCTCAATGATTAGCTGAAAAAACCTACAGTGGCACTAATTTGGGACTGTTTCGGGAGAATTAAAAAAAAACTGCTACACAAAAGTTCCTTTAATATTAGACGTTCCAGCTCTTTGGAGGCTGTAAACAGGCAGAACACTATGAGTCCGATCTAGTGGTGAGACCCTGATCACCTTGTAGACCCTTCCCTAAAAGTACTATATATATATATATATATATATATGTGTGTGTGTGTGTGTGTGTGTATACACATGTGTGTTTGTGTGTGTGTTACTTAGATGCCAATTTAACTCTTCCATTAGCAGAAAACCAAAAACATCAACTACATTATTGAAAGCAAATATGCTAGTATCAGTTGGGGAAGTTTCCCATCTGTTTGAGCCCAAGTGCTTACTTCCGATAGCATTTAGATAAAATGAAACGAAGTTACGTTCTGCGACGCAGAGGTCGTTCATAAAGAAGAGTGTTAAATGATTTTTGTGAATGGAAAATCTGCCTATACTGTTGCTTCGCCTCAGCCGGCCCGAGCGGGTGACTGAATGGACCAAAAGCATGCTCCGTGTGAAGCACCGTGGAACCTGATTCTACTCTAGAGCTCAGGCGCAAATATTACAAGCACAGCGAAGGCTTCGCCTTTTCCCCTACGTTCCAAGGCGGCCGCGGGAACTGAGGTTTAGAGCACAGCACAACACCGTGTCACCCAGTTCTGCAAGGGCGGGTGCGGTCTGCGGTGCGCGGCAAAGCCTCCTCTGGGGCTGTCACAGGAAAGCCGGAGCCTCGCCTTCACCTCGCCCGGCGACGAAGAGCCAGCTCTCTGCGGCGCGGGGGCTTCCGGAGACCCAGTCACCCGCCCTGTCAAACTTCACGAGGGGGAGACACTTGGGGCGGTCCAAACGCTCCAACTGCCCCCCACGCCCAGTTCTCCGGTCGCGGCTTTGTGAGGCTGCAGAGGCAGCTACTGTAGCCCCAAAACACCCCACCCCCGCCAGCCTCTCCAATCCCCCGCTCCGAAAGGGACAAAGGAGCCAGGAGAAACTCCTCGGCGCGGGGTGGCCACAGACCCAGCAGCCAGAGCTCAGAACGTGGGAACAGGGGGCGCCGTCGCCCGAGGGTAGGAAACCTGCCGCCCCCGAAGTCGGGGCCGCGCGACACTCACTGGTGTGTAGCCCCCGAGAGGCGCTGCGCTGGGAGTCGGCTCCTCGGGGATGCGGGCGGCGCCGGGAGCCGGGCCCTCCACGCGTCCCGCCGGACCCCAACTTCTCTCCGGGCAGCAGGAGCCCGAGGGCGCCGTGCAGCTGCCGCGGGGCTCAGCGGACCAGCGCGGCGGGAACTCCGGCCCTGCAGTCCCCGGGCCAGAGCGGGCCCCTCCTCGCCTCCGTCGGCCCGCTACCGGCGGCACCTACTGCCACGACCAAAGCTAACGCTACAGACGCTCCGGCTGCCGCTATCACCGCCGCCCAGCCAGGAGCGCGTCGCGGCCTAATGTTGTCATCCACCGCGTCGCCGCCTTTCTGAACGCCCGGAGCCTCACGATCCCTCACACTCTAGCACCGCCCCCAGGCTCCGCCCCCGGCGCGCGACTCCGGCCCCGCCCCCTTCCCGTCACGTGACCTGCGCGGGGCGGGCGGGGCGGTACTTCCCCCCCCAGCGAGCAACACCTAGTTCTGCAACGGAGCAGGCGACTGCGCCTGCCCGAGGCGGTCGCAGGGGCGAACCCGATCCTGGGTTTGGCGCCTTCTGGGCCGTCGATACCCGGCTGAGTCCAACCCGAAGAGCTGCCCGCCTCTGGGCCAGAGCGAGGGACCCGCCTCCTGGACCTTGGGTTTGCCGAAGTTTCAGCGGCGCGGAGACCGAAAGAAGCCCTCGGGATGCGTGTCAGGCTTGAGGGAGCTCCGAAGCCAGTTGTCCCTATTTCTAGTAGCACGTTAATTGTGGCATTCAGTTTACTGTTTTCCTCATTAGAGGCTTTCAGTTTTGAGGAGACGGCGGTGTATTTCAGTCACGCTGGGATGAAATTAGCCCGGCGAAACAATTTCTGTGCTTAGTCCTGCGGGTCCGGGAGCCTTCGTGCCCGTTAAATTTCACAGTGTGTTAGACTGCTTGCAGCTTCAGCAAGTACACGGGAACGCGACGTTCCACTTTTACAAGAAAACTAATTCTTGATTTTATTTTTCTTCTTCAAGCTCCTCAACTCTTGGACATACCTTTTGTCTTGTTTTTCAACCATGACCCTAGGGACCCTCTCCCTCTTCTCTCTCTGTTGATCAATTAGCTAGTCAGCAAAAGAAACAAAAGTTAGCACGTAGAAATAAGTAGAAGAGAAGACCCTATTCAAACCCTGTGAACAATGAAGGCGAGTGAGTTTTCTTGATCATTAAACTCTATTCAGACCCATTTCCCCTGGCTAGTCCAGAACAAAGGACTTTCGTAAGCCGTTCTCATAATAACATTTTCTTGATAGAAGTCACATGGCATTGTGATCAACTAACTGGGTTCTTTGAAATTAAAAAAACTACGATTTGGCCCGCATAATCCTTAATATAAGTACATTTCATAGCCGCTCTAAAAAGTATAGAATTTAAAACTCACCATTATTTTGTTACCCAGGAAAGAAAAGATGCTGCCAAGGAAACTATGTTATGCCACTGATCTTTAAGACATCTTGAGTTCAGAGATGTTAGGATGTGAAAGACAATGAGCCTTAGAATCTGTGAGATGTTGTGATGAACTGGTGTTCTGGTGACGAAAAGATTCTACCAGGTTCTATTCTGATGTTGAAAAGACTGTTCTTGTACTTCAGATAAATATGAGGGAAATTTATTATCTTAAGAAGCTAGTCATAAAGCTTCAAATTTATCATTTGAGGAAGCTAGATGACTTTGGAGGTTGTCAAAGATTGAATCTCTCTCTCCAGTGTTTTTCAAACTCCACTCTAGAATTTTAATTTTTTTAAATGAAATAGATTACAATGATTTAGAATTTAAAATACCAGAAAGGGTAGTATCTAGTAAAGTCTAGAATTGCTTTTATATTAGACACAAGAGAGTGTAGGTTTTGTTCTTTAAATTGTATTTCCTGCAGTGAATTGCATTCAAATAGATTTGAAAAAGAATGTGCTTAGAGCATAAGTAATATGCAAAATATACTGTCTGGGATGCTATTTCCCTGGTTTTTTTTTTTTTTTTTTTT